CTTATCCGTGTGCGGACAGGTCCACCAGCCTGCCCTCCTGCTGCCCCTCTCATCTCTTTCTCTGTTTCTCCTTGTGCGCCTTCTCGCTCCTTCTCTGGCGTATTAGCATCTCTTGGCTGCTGTGCTGGGGACCTGCTGCAGGAGTTGACGAGACTGGGAGTCAGGGGGACGCCCTCAAGTCCTGGGGGAGGACTCATCTTCCTAAACTCCTCCTTCAGCAGTTGGAAATTTTTCTGAAATTAAAAGCAACACAAAATCAGATTTAAAGACCCACTGTAATAAACTTTAATAATTCATGAACATATGTAGGTAGAGTAACTCCATCACTTTGTCTTAAACTTGCTTCAAAAAAAATCAAGAGAGCAAATTCAAATCACACAGCTGAAAACAACCTACCTTAATATTTCATAGAAACCCATTATCACAAATAAAATTTACCTTTAAGCCCACAGTATTGTGTGCTATATTTTTTCCTGCTCTTCGGTTTTCGCTCAGAGTTTCCATGTCGGCGATCCAAGCCTCAATTTGTTCCAGGATTTCTTTGTGCTTGAGCCAGAAGTGACGTTCAATTACCTGCAATGAAATAACTCGAATGACTTTCAAATATCAATGAAGACAAACATTGAAGATATTACCAATCCCAGAGAATTGTAGCACCATCTATGGAAAATTAGGTAGTCTACTATTCTTTTAACACGAGGAACATGAGAGAGGGAGGAGGCAGGAGAGGGAGGTGGTGGTGGAGGAGGAGGGGGAGGAAGAGGAGGAAAAAGAGAGAGGAGGGAGGAGGAGGGGAGGAGGAGGAGGAGGAGGAGGAGGAGGAGAGAGAGGAGGAGGAGGAAGAGGAAGAGGAGGGAGGAGAGGGAGGAGAAAGGAGGAGGAGGAGGAGGAGGAGAGGAGGAGAAAGGAGGAGGAGGAGGTGAGGAGGTGAGGAGGCGAGGGAGGACGAAGGAGGAGGAGGAGGATGGAGAGAGGCAGGATGAAGGAGGAGGAGGAGGATGGATAAAGAGGTTGAAAAGGAGAAAAAAGAAGAAAGAGAAGAAAGTGAAAGAGTAGCAGCAGTAATAGTGCAAAGAATAAGGGGATGGGGAAAGAGGACAAACAGTAGAGTTCAAATGAAAATCCAGGTACCTCCTTGAAGCAGGGCGATGGGTTGCGCAGCTGGTTCAGCATGGCCCATCTGACTGTTGCTGCACGGATGTTCGCATCATACTCTCTTGAATTTTGCATTGCAGCCGGTGTGCCTCTTGACCTCTCATATCCTGGCTCATTGAAGTACGGCTCACTCACGAAGATGAGTGACTGGATGGAGACCAACACCTGGGCAAAGAAATCGGCAATATTAATCCCATATTTATGCAAACCTATAAGATGTCAATAAACGAGGGGTTAATGAGGATGATTACCAAAATACAGGTGAAGGCTTTTGCCTTCAACATTTCTAATAATAAGTCCAGTACAATATAGGAAAGAAATTATGTACAAAGAAGAAAACATTGGAATGAATGATTGTAACAAAATTACCAAACACTCCTTAAATCCCAATGTAAAACACTCCTAAAATATGCCATCACTGTTTCCTACACCTGCACCAGTGAGAGTCAAACCTATGTCGTCCTCACCTGCAAGAGCGATGAGGTCTGGGGGTTCCACTTCTCCTCTGGGCGGCCGTGCCAGGTGTTGAGGATGCTCAGGCACACCTTCCCATCCTGATACAGGTTGGGGTTAAAGCGCACCTGTTGACAGAGGTAAAAGATTAATCACATTATGTCTGGACAACCATTTGATAGGATGTTACTGGTAGTTTTAGTTTGATGGAGAGAAAACTTTTAATAAAAATATCTATAAGCAAAAACTAAAGGATTAAAAAACAAACATAACAAAAGTGGCAGAACCAAATGCCATGGTGGAACTTATAGCATTGTCAGCCCTAAAACAATGAGAATCCGAAAACATCATATCAAGTCTTGTCATCATGTCATCATAAGATTCTTATGTACAAGACTCCTATCTTTTAATCCTTGAATCCTCACTGACAGATGAGAAAATAACAAACTTGATAGGTAATGCCAAACTCAGCAAATCTTCATCTGTTTTAGAAAAAATACTTATAAATAAGAAAGAAAGAAATAAAGAAGAAAAAAAAGAAAAGAAAAAAGTTTACATCATGAAGAGGAAAGATGCATAAACTCAATTACAGGAGGCCAGCTGACTTACACGTCCTTCTCCTGTGGTCTGAAGATTAATGTGCAGTGGTGACGTTGGGTAATCAACTGGGAAATAAACGTCAAACTCGAAACAGCCATTGGCATAGGGAGTGTCCTCTGGCCCAGTAATGAGTACCTGTAGATTATAGACATATCTTGTAACCTTCTCTTTAAAAAGATGGCATTCTTATGATTAGAAAATTAAATTCAATCAACCAAAAGATAATACAGGAGTCTTAGTACAACTTTGCAGGCACAATCCGAATTCACTTTTTACTTTCAACCTATCTGTTATGTGGACTTTCTTTACCAAACTGCTGTGTATACTAGAGTCCGGTGCGGGTACATCAACTAAATATATCACAAACTCTCCTGGATGGATACCCAAAACAAAGGGTGTGGACCTACCTTCATAATATCTAATCTGTCCAGGTCTGTCCTGACAAAGACTGATGATGAATATGACAAAGGTAGTGATGTTGATAGCGTGACAGCCTCCTGTGCAAGTCTCTTCATTCTGCGAGAAGTGCACAGATCGCCTGCACCTCTCACTGACCCTTCGTAATGGTGGGGCACGACAAATCTTATTCCTCTCTCCGAGTCTTCAACCAACATCTCGTACGTGTCTGTAAATGTTTTGCAGTTGCAGGAGTGCATTTCCAGATTTGTTAGGTAGTGATCAATAAATATACTTAACTTACTTTTGTCTACATAATCTTTGCGACAAATAAGCCACTTATTTCACTGAAATGTTAAGCAGATGCTTTTATCACTTTTAGAAGACACTTACCAAACTGCAAGGGTTTGAGGCCTGCCAAATAGACTTCCATTAGTGACTGTGACGATACTGGCTGTGCTGCTGCCCCACCGTCTGGCTGGTCTTCTCTGTCTAACTCTTGCTGTAGCCGATCAGTGCAAACCTGCATGAAAAAATGGTTTACTCAGTCTAAAAAGAAAAGGCACAAAAATAAGTAATATAGCAGATTGCTAAAGTGATATGGGCTAGACATAACCCCTAGAGTACAAGCAATGCTCACCTTGACCACCATGGCCGTGTTCTGAATGTCTGGCACAATGAGTGACAAGCCTTCCTCCTGCTCAGCATCATCTGTTAGACTGCCGGAATTGTTGTTGTTCCCACCATTGTTGTTACCATTGCCACCATTTCCATTGCTGTTGCCGCCAGCCTTGGAGGACTTCCATCGCAGCTTGGCCATGTATGTGTTAACAGTTGTTTTCATCTTCTCCAACAACGCTGGCACACAAGGTAGAGTGGTGGTGTCTCCGCCTCCTCCATTCGTCGGAGCTGAATTCTGGGGTGTCAGCAGCAGGGGCGCCAGGCCAGGGGTGACAGAGAGGCCTCTCACAAGGGCCAGTAATGCACGGTAAAGAGGGACGTGCCGGGACATGTCCAATACTTTGGGGGAGCAGAGAAAACAAAAATCAATAATATGTAAGACAAATAGTACAGATGCATTACAGAAATAGCCATTCACTACTTGAAGATAAAAAGACATTATCCTCACTCTACCACTGCACGAACTTACCCGAGTCATTGCTGAGGTTGGAGGCTATGGTAGTGATCAAGCCTGAATTCTGGAAAAGGTGTAGGAGGGCAGGTGGCAAGGGTGGAGGGCATGAGACGGGGTGACAGAGGGGTAGGAGAGGGGTGCTGTCACTTTGACTTCAGCTGCACCGCCTCCTGCTGTCCCACCATTGGACTGTTGCTGCAGCTCAGGTGGCAAGATGTCACCTGATTGGGAAAACAAATTTCTAATGAGAAGCTGATCTCTGAGACCCATCGCATCTCTCTAGTGCCCTTATGTGAGTCATACTGAACAAACTTAACCTTTTCCTCTGGATCTTAAAAGTCACAAACTTAACCATAATGGAGATGGCATACAATAATTCTCTCAAAAGCATTCCCACCTCCCTGAGCTAGCCTTCTCTTAAACACAGCTCTTGCAAACACACCTGGATTGATGTACTGGGCTAGCAGTCTCACAAGCCAAACCACATGTTCCTCCTCCACTTTCTGCCTCACAAGAGCCTGTTCCACATCCCAGCTCTGTGTGGTGCTGCCTGTGCCAAAGCCTGTGCCCTTGGCCCAGTAATGGCATCGGTCTCCCTCTCCACGGTGCATGCCAATGGTCTCACGGGAGTCAACGCAGGTGGCTCTGGTTGTCGCCACCACCAAGCCAATTGGAACATTCTGTGGAGGTGTTTTTCAGATTAGAGAACAGGGAGGAACTAGAGTCAAATATTTTATTAAATACAAGAAAAATGAGAAATAATGAACCAAATAATTAGGAATTCAATTTCTATTTGATACCTAACATTAAAAAAAAAAAATGTGCATGTATCAGCTACCACAAACCCATCATAGTACCTGGTGGTATAGGGAAGATACCACTTCAGGGGTGTCCTGGTGAGACAGCGCGGCAAGGCAGGCCAGAATCAGATGCAGAGCTCCTGACTCCAGGCACATGCGTCTCAGGAGGAGCCCGTCATCGGTTGTAAGAGGTGTGGCCTCAAGCAGGGACTCCAGCACCTGGAAGGGCATTGTTGCCAAGGAACCACCCACTCCTGAGCCTACGATGTCTCCTGAGAGGGTAGAGTAGAAACAACCATGATCAATTCATGTTTTTTCTGGTATTGCTTTAACTGAAAAACAAATAATAATAATAATGATGGTAGTAAAACCACACAATGCACAAACTGGATTTATTGAAGAAAGTGAGACAACAGTTTCAGAATCGTCCTTGATTCCATCTTCGGATCTGAGGTGGAATTGAGGACGATTCAATAAATCTAGTTTGTGCATTTGGTGTTTTTCTACCATTGTATCAACATAGTAGAGTGCTTTTCCATTCAATAATAATGATAATAATAATAATAATAATAAAAAAAAAAAAATATTCCAAACATATAACAATAAACTCCAAATACTATCACCAACCTCCATCCCCATCATCTGTGACCCCCAAGGCAAGTCTGAGCAGACAGCAAGCCTTTGGGTGTCCTTGAGGAGCGTCTCTGCATAGCCTGGGAGCCGCAGGAAAAGGTGAAGGCCCCGAGCGCATGGGGTGGATGGAGGGCAGCGTTAACAGGCTGACTGTCCCCCTCCCATGGGCCCTGGGGAGCCCCCACTCCCTCCTCCCATCACCAGGTAATCAAACACATTTGCAGACTGTGGAAGCATTGCAGAGACATAATGTATTGAAATTAATGCCTGTGGATGTCATGCTTAGCGGCTTGGTGTTTTCCATATATTCAGAGGATAAGTATACATCTAGCAAAACTAAACCTTTACAGTACTTGTTGGCTACCTGTGAAGGGACACTGCAGCAACTTTTAAACTGTATTTACTCAAACACTCTCTTCTTTCAAATGAAAACATGTAAAAGGATGGCAGGAAATACAAAAGCTAATCATTCCCTCATACTAATTTCACCCTACTCGAGTAATTTAGAAGACAGACTAAAATGGGTATCATAATCCCATTAGTGCCAGTTAACAAGGTATCAGAGACACAAAACCTTCCCTATTCCATCCCCTAAGAGAATTCCCAAGAACCATATTTGGACAAGGTGGAGTCCCTCGGAAAGATATATATCGGGGGGAGAAGGAACAAGGAAATCCACTGACGACTCATCGCACAACAAAACGAAAAGTACTGAAAGAATAGCTGTGCGAGGGCGAAATAGAAGCTACTAGTTCACCTCATATAGCATCATCTCCACACTGACCAGTCTTCTCCACTACAATCTCGCCCTTGTCGCCGTTGCCACTTCGCACTGATGCAGTGTTGTTGGCTGCTGCAAATATTGCAAGGAAAGAAAATGAATGTTTGGGGTTAGAACTTTGAAACTCTGCTGTATGAATTTCAAAAAAAAGAAATAACTCCATGAATAGGAAAGGAGGGAAGAGACGGGAGAGGAAGAGAACTGAGGGAAGAGGAAGTGTGACGTGTGACGTGAGGAGAGAGGGGAGAAGAGAAGAGAAGAAAGAGAAGCAATGAAGAGAGTAAGAGGTAGAGTAGGGGGAGGAGGGGGGGAGGAGGAGGATATGGAGGAAGATGAGGAAGAGAGGAGGAGGAGGAGAGGGAGGGGTAGAGGAGGAGGAGAAGGAGAGAAGGAAGAGGAGGAAGGGTAAGGAGAGGAGAAGGAGGAGAGGAAGGGTAGGAGGAGAGGAGGAGGAGGAGAGGAGAGAGGAGGAGGAGGAGGAGGAGGAGGAGGAGGACGAGGAAAGAAGTAGAGGAAGGGGAATAAGGGAGGAGATGATGGAAGAGAGTAAGGGGGAGGAATGGAGGAGGAGAGGAAGGGGAGAAGAGGAGGAGGAGAAGAGGAAGGGAGAAGAAGAGAAGGAGGAGGAAGAGAAGAGGAAGGGGAGAAGAAGGAAGAGGAGAAGAAAGAAGAAGGGGAGAAACTGAGGAGGAGGAGGAGGAGGAGAAGAGGGGAGAAACTGAGGAGGAGGAGGAGAGGAGAGGAAGAGAGGAAGGGGAGAAACTGAGGAGAGGAGGAGGAGAAGAGGAAGGGGAGAAACTGAGGAGGAGGAGGAGGAGAAGAGGAAGGGGAGAAGAGGAAGGGAGAAGAAGAGAGGTGAAGAATAAAGGTGGGGGAGGAGGAAAAGGTATAATATTTCAGCTGAAGTTTTAAATTATCCTCCAAATATTAGGTAACTTTGCCTTATGCATCAAACACCTATCGACACAAGGCTATCAAAATACAGGTAATCTCTATAAACACTTCATTACCCTAATAGAATGTGCCTTGGGTTCTTCTTCAGAACAGCAGGCCTGCATAGATTACACATGTAACCTACTGAATAATTTATCATACATTTCATAATCAACAATAATAGTGATGATAGTAGAAAATTATGATAATTATATTCCTCTGTTGAAACAAAATCATCTAAAAGGGATCAGCCTTGAAGATGATCATAATCACTGGTTAAAAATAACTGAGATATGTTTGATAACTATAAAAACAAGAATGACATTTAAAAAAAGTCATTCTTAACTTCCCTTGTTTTCCTCTTTCAACTCTCTCAATTCTAAAGTAGAAACTAAAGCCAAGTAACAAGAGAGAGAGAACTTGTAGTACATGAATATCAGATTAAATGCAAAACAAACAAACAGACTGACTGACCTGCTGTCCTGTGTCTGGGTAAAGAAGCGACATGTGTTGGGCCAGGAGCGAGAGGCCGCCCTGACTCGTGAACACATGCAGGGTGGATGGTAGCGGTTCCGTACAGAGCAGCAAGGCCTCTCGTCCACTTTCACCTTCTGGCGGAAAGACTTGATTTGTAGGCTTTTATTTGAGCCAGTATAAAATCCTCATTGCTATCAATAAGAGCATCACTTTCGTTTTTAAAGGCTGAAGACCAATAATAGAACAAAATTCGGATTAACTTCCTACCTCTGGCATGGTCCCTTCTATTAGTTAAAGTTAGGGTGATGTGTGAGGAAGGCGGGTGGCCCTCATGACGCAGAGCGGCCATGACCTGAGCCACTGTGAGTGTGGAAGGTAGTCCTGAGAACTGCCCAGGCTCTCATGCACTAAGACGTATGATGAGGCACTCGATGTTGCTGTCACAGGCTTGCTAGACTGGCTGTCCTGCTCTGTGGCTGTAACATTTAACAATTCTGTATAATAAAGATCAAAGAGTCCTGTCTATTACATACATTAACATTCTTGCTTTTCACTTTAAACTTTGGGCTTTTACTAATTCAAAATTAAAATACTACTAAAGAAATCCTATACATCTGGCACTCTAACACATCTACAAAGACTGTATCCTTTCTATAGAAATCCAAATCCAAAACACGCAATGGCCCAAAAATGTATACACAAAGACTGACCTCTCTTGGACATCCTGCTGTGAATACTCGAATTTGACCTTGTTCTTCTCCCTCTTGTCCTTGGCTGTGACTCCTGCTGCGACAGAGAGCTTGTCCACTAACTCCAGGTGACCCACCTCATTCGCGTCCCTTCTGTCTCCGCTGCTGCCTAACTCCAGGTCTCCTGAGTTGCTCAGCACACCTCTTGACCAGTCTGAAGAAGGATTTCAGTTTGAGTTGGTGCACTAAGTCTCTAATTCTAAGAGGGAATGGAGTGTGGAGAATATTTCAAACTGATAAAAATAAGATGAGTTATTGATCTATCTATTTGTTCATGAATATATAATTCATAAAGCATATAGTACAGACTATCATATCTGAAAGGTATTAAGCTAGGTTTGATAATGTAGGCAGTGTTCTAAATGTGTATCATTTTCTTTTTCCCTTTCTTTACATTTTGTTCATGTCAAAAGTGAAGTTATAATGAAAGGTAACAAAACCCTTTGTTCTGGATGACTTGACCATCGTGTCAGGAAAAATTTTGGCTTGAGGGTGGGTGACATGAACTTGCCAGCATGAGCGAAGGCCAGGGTGATGGAAAAGACTTGTTAAACGTGCACAAATCTCTTGGTGGGTGATTAGTCTCGTTTGGCACTTAGAAAGGGGCTTTTTTATTATTCCCAATAAACAAGTGTAGGTCAGCCATGACTGGAGGCTCGCCGGCTCCTGAGGAGAATGCTGTTTCCATGCTCAGTATCCTAATCCTGGCCACTGTGACTAGCAGCGCATGTTGCATTATAGAGAATTGAATATAATAAAAAAAAAAAGACAAATAACAAAATGTTTCTATTTTCTTGCACTGAGGCATTTACTTCAAAGAGAGATCAATGTAAAGGCTATGCAAGGAAAACAGTCTATTATCATCTGGATAAAGCAAATCAATTGACCAATATGGGAACTGGAAATGGCAAAAAAGCTAAAAACGCTTATGCAAAATAACCTTGCAAAGGGCAGGCATAGAGTCTTGTCACCGCACAAGAGTGTGCGTGCCCTGCCTATGATACCAAATATAAAAAATATACATTACAATGAATGCAATGGTAATGTTTACTGAATAAACATAGGCTATCCAAAAGCCAAAATTACATTAAATAATAATAATAACAAAAAAAAAATCTTGTTTCCACAGAGAGAGAGAGAGAGAAAGAGAGAAAAAAAGAGAGAGAGAGAGAAAGAGAGAAAAAAGAAAAGAGAGAAAGAGAGAGAGAGGAGAGAGAGAGAGAGAGAGAGAGAGAGAAGAGAGAGGAGAGAGAGAGAGAAAGAGAGAGAGAGAGAGAGAGAGAGAGAGAGAAAGAGAGAGAAGAGAGAGAAGAGAGAGAAAGAGAGAGAGAGAAAGAATGAAAGAGAGAGAGAGAAAGAATGAAAGAGAGAGAGAGAAAAGAATGAGAGAGAAAGAAATGAAGAGAAAGAGAGAAAGAGAGAAAGAAAGAAAGAAAGAAAGAAAGAAAGAAAGAGAGAGAGAGAGAGAGAGAAAAAAAAAAACTTTACAAACCTGTGACCATCTTGACAATATCCGACATGGTTGTGGTGGTCGGGAGGTTGAGGAGCCTCGTCTTGTGTCCTGCTCCGAACTTGGGGTGCTGCGTGAGGAGGGGGAGGCTGCATCCCGTGGGCGAAGAAAGGCCTCCCTGGGGGCTGTTGATGTGTACCACCACACGCTCCGTCTCCAAGAGGAGTTGAAGGACTAGGCGACGTGTGAACCCGGAGAGAGAGTGCAGGTAGCTTACTCCACCTACGGAGAGAAAGAGTGTGAGAAGCAATAACAAACATCAATTTTATCAGCAATAAGTGCAACTGCCAACTATGAAGGTCATGCAGGAACCCTGGCCTATCAAAATACCAAAGATCCTGTTTATTTTGCATAATCATTAAAAAAATATTTCAGTCACTCTCAAACAAGATGTAAATACTGGTCACTGCTAATCTGACTGATCTTTCACAGGATTTTCCTCATTATGACTTGCATCTCATTATTGATCTTGTTTTTAATCTTCATGTTTTGAAGAGTAATTATCCTACAAAATTATCTTGTCAACTGAGTTTCTCATAAAATCTACAATTAATTCCAGTCCTACGAATACTATTTACTACCTGCTAAGAAATTTCATCTATTCAGCACAGTCTATAAAAAAAAAAAATCAAATCAAATTTACTTGTTAGTAAAGAAAGGACGAAAAGAAGAAAGAAAGAAAAAAAAGAGAGCTAAATATTGAGAAATTCAACATCTTTCACCTGGAGGGGGGATGTTCTGCCGTTGGATAAGATGGCACAGAGTCGATGCGAGAAGGTTTTGGTTGTGAGGTGGTTGTGGCAACACTGCCTCATCAGATGGATGGTTGCATCTTCCACGCTGCTATAGTCACTGTCACTTCCACCAGAGGGACCAGAACCCCGCATCAATGGCTCACTGCCTCGTACCAGTGGGTCACCTGTGGAGGTAAATTTGACCTGTTGTTCCACCAATTTTCTCAAAGCTATTTGATTTTTACCTCACATTCTAAAAATCCAGGAAATCACAACAACAACAACAAATATATATATATACAATTAGTGAATATTCCCTGTCACAAAGGTTAAAAGATATAGTAAACAACTAAATACCTCCCACAACCTACCAAGAACAGTCAACAGTGGTAACCAGAACACAGATCCCTCAGCAGATCCTAGCCAGTCCTTCATTGGAGGCTCAGCGCACAGTGCAGCTAGGGTGTGCAGAGTGTGTGCCACCAAAGATGTGCTCAGTGTAGGGACAATAGCAGCCCTGATTTGTGGGGGGGCCTGAGGGGTGGCAGAGGAGAGGGTGTCTTCCGCATTGCGCGATTTCTCGGCTACACTTGCTTTCTCCAAGTCAGTTGCACTTTCCCCAGCACTTGAGGATGTGCAGCTCTCTACCTGGTGCAATACTTCGGTCTTGCACCATTCTACAACAAGAAGCAATTTGTATTTAGAATTTCTTTACCTTACAATAAAGTAAAAAGTGTATCCTGCATAGTTGTTCTGAAAAATTAAAACAGAATACCTGAAAAGAGACAAAAATCCATGACAAAAAAGTTAACGAAATCCTTTGCTATACTAACCTAAAATACCATGAACAAGCAGCAACGGGAATCCAGAATCCAGCATCAGGTGTATTGCCTGGGGAGACTGAGCAACTGTGGCCAGGGTCTGCAGGTGTGCTGGTGTGAGGGAGATAACGCTGGGGTCCTGGAGGATGAGACGACCTTCTACCGCCCCTGAGGAGCCCTCCACCCCTTCCTTCATGTCGTCTGTCCTGGCAGCCCGAATCTCTGCTTCTCTGTCTTTTCTGCATGTGGAGTAAAAGTGTGTTTTAGTATCCTGCTGACTCTGTGCTTAATATGTAGTTCATAGTACCTAGATCAATGCCATAAGCAAGAAAGTTTTACGAAAAATTCTTAATCTCACTTCCCACTGCCAGATGAGCAGTTAATAAATGTTAAGATATTAAATAGATAATAAATGTTAAGATATTCATAAGCACAGAAAATTCATGTATACTTTTACAAAAAAAAAGATAGTGGAACACGAACACTAAAGAAAAAATTATAAAAAGGAAAAAGAAAACAAGAGAAAGATAACACCTACCTGTCATCAGTTATTGACTGGTTATTGTCAATCACAGTCAGCACTGCCATGTTGAGCAGTAGCTGAGTGAAGAGCTGTGGCCGCACATGGCACATGGAGCACATTATGTGATCCAGCCCTATCTTCACTTCACCTTCAACTCTCTCTGACCACTCGTAGACACGCCTAAATCATGAAGGTAAAATCATCAAAATCTGATTTCATGGAAGACATGGAATATGAGCTGGGGCTTACATATCACTTTCCCAACAACCCAATGCCAGTATATATAAAATATCTAAAAACAAATGCAACTTGTATCATCCAAAATGTTCCAAAAAAGGTAATTTTTGTGAAAGATTCGTGATTTAGTGCATGTGCTGAAAATTCAAAAAAATCAGATCGTACCTGAACAATTCATCCGTTATGAGGCTTGTGGTGTCATGTGGGGTATTCCACAGCACCGCAGCAATGCAATGCAATACCTCTGCACTAACACCACCATTCACGCACAGTTCTTGTGGGGACCGCTGCTGCTGCTGCTGCTGGGAGGTACCCAGACTATGGTAGTCGTCAGTTGCTGGCGAGGGGGTTGCAGGGTGCAATACTATGTGGTTCAGCCATGATATTAAGACTGTTACGCCCTCCATACTGCTGTTCCCGACACAGAGTTCATACAGGAGAGCTATAGCTGCGTCCAAGCTGTTACCACCTGTTAGTACATTTGGGAGTTAGGTAGATAAAGGACAAGTTCAGCAATTCAATAAGCTTTCCCAATATTTCAAGAAATAACCAAAAGTATAAGAGTAATCAAAGTAGGTGTTACTCGAGTCCCAGTTATCATGTCTATACCAAAGAAAGTGGCTAAACCTCTTCTATGATGCACTAACCTGCTGGCTGGCGTAAGAGAGGGTGTGTGAGGAGTGTCATGATCAGGGTGTGGAGCAGCTGGGGCGAGAGGGCTGCAAGAGCCAGTGTGGTAGCCTCCAGTGGTGCCGAGCCTAGAGGGGCAAGGTGGAGCGGCCCTGGTGGAGTCAGGAGGAGTGTCACACAAGCCTCCATCACTCCCGACACAGATGCTCCTGCCTCCACGCCGACACTCAGGCCTCCCTCCACGCGGCACATGCACTGGTGGATCAGCCGGAGCCACCACATGCTGATGAAGTTGAAATTTTATCATCAGTAAAAAACAAGCTGGGAAAACAACTGATATGCAAATTAATCATTAAATCTTCACTGATGGAAACAAACCTATAGTATTCACAAACAAACCAACTTATCAGAAATACCTTGCGCGGGGTGTGTGATCGCTGATGGCCGTTTCATGGACGCCTCTAGATGCTTCCCTGAAGGTTGTGGTTCCAAGAAGTTTGAGCTGAGACAGTCCCAGAGTGGAGGAGTCTCGTGGACGATGGAGGCGCACAACGACATCGAGGCAACTACCGGACGTGGGAGGACAAGGCGGACGCGAGAGAGGCCAGCAGTGCTCAGTGGGCCACTCACTGGCATCAGGTATCCACCCTCAACACCTACCTCTACTGATACTGCTGATGGACATGCTGAAAAAGTAATTAGACCAATGTTGACTTTCTTGAAAATATTAATCTAATATCAATATTATTCAAACATAAGGAAATAAAACAGAGAATAATCATGTCAATAAATAGTATTCGCCTAAAATTCTATTCCTCTTCTCACAGCAAAAATTATAGAACAATCTTTTATCCCACAACAATAACAACTTTCAATTGACAGCTTCATAAAGGTATTCTTTCCTGATAAATTAGTAACTCCTGAGTAAATGGTTCTTCACTCAGTGAGAGGAGACTTACAGACAAGGGACACTGTGTGAGGTAGCAGATGGACCTCATGCAGCAGTACGGCACAGGGTAATGTCAAGTTCAAATCCACCCAACTCTCATCAGGATAGAAGTGGTACGACCAGGGTGCACTCTGAAAGGATAGAGGAACAATCACATCTCTTCACTCAGACTCAAAGGAAGACAACCTTCTTGGAAATCAAAAGAATTTACATTACAAAATTAAGTATAAACAGAAAACTAATTCATTAATAAACAAACGCTTCTTTACAGGAATCAATTCAAATGCTATTCAGAAAACCAGGACTTGAAACAGACCTTAGTCCTCTGGAACAGCTGATTGGAGTCCACGAGGACGTTGGCAGGTCTTGCAGTCGGGTTGCTTGATGTTACAACAGCCAGTGGGGCAAAGTTGTACAGACCCTGGTTCTGTTCGACTGTCTCGTTGCGTTTGTTCGAGGGTGTGTGTGTTGTTACGGCGGGAGAGGAGGAGCAAGATGGTTCATGACTGCAGTCACCAAGCCACCCCTTCCACCTCCCATCATCCCTACACTGCTCACTAGGTTTTCCCAAAGCATCTGCCAGACCAAACAGGGATTCCCAATCAATGCTTGTCTTTTGAATTTTCTCAAGAGTAAAAAACAAAAACATAATTACTGTCTTCAACATTACCACATTCAGTGAGTAACAAAATTGATGAAATAGAAGAAAATGCCATACCTTCATGCCCCCAAGAGCAGCAAACTTCTCGAGTATGGCTGGACAGTCCAGCACTCGCGTGAAGAAACAGAGAGCTGGTTCTGACAGTGAGGGGGGACTCCACCACCCACCTGCGTAAAAGGGAATCACATTGATGAAACAAATCTTCTCATGACTCATCAAAAATCTCATTTTGATGCAAATTTCTCACTGTACCATTTCTTTCATCTACACACACAAAACCTGGAGTAATGAATTCCACGACAGGTCTCAGAATGAGGTCTGGCGCTGTGGCCTTGGCATTGAGTGTGAGAAGAGCTGGTAGAGGGCATCGGTCAGGGTCTCCCCTAGGCACAGCTTCTCCGAGACCTTCCACTTACTGTGCCCAAGAGCATGGACACACTACTACCCTCACAAGCTGCCACCGACTTCAGAAGCAGCTTCGTCTCCCCATTTTGTAATACTGCGAGGAGATTACCGAGGTGTGAGTTTATATGGGAGGGGGTCTATGTTTGCGGAAAACTATTGGTTATCAATCATATTGGAAAATACAACTAAATTATGGACCTGAAGCAAGTATAGTTATCTTTGAGCATACAAAAATATGTATACATATTTACTTCACTAACCTTTCAAACGACTATTTCTAATGAATCTTTCTACTCTGCCTTTGCCTTTCAAATAAGACATCAAGCTTTCATTTCAATCTCTTCATAAATTTAAAGGATAACTTAGCCATCCAAAACCAAGAACTGAAAGGAACAACAACGTACCTGTATCTGCCCAAGCATGGAACACTGTTTGGGGCGGCATGTGAGCAAGTCTGGGGGTATGCATGGCTTTGTGTCATCGGTCTGGCTAGAACTGGCATCTGTGCGTTGCTGCTCTAATTTACTGAGTCGGTAAGGACCCCCTGAGTTTTCCTGGGCTTCATAATTTGCCACTCCCACACGAACCTGGATATAAGAGTCAAATGATTATCTCTAACAGCGGTCAGCTGAAGGAAGGTGTGATGGTGATTTGATGTAAAACTATTAGAGAAAATACAAAAAGAGAATGATTAAACTTTCTTATCTATTGGTCTTATTTTCTTCAAACTCAAACACTTAAAATCTGAGAATACTCTTTTATGTTAACTCTCAAGTTAAGCTTAAAGAAATACATCTATAAGCCAATAAACATTCTAAATTACATTAATAACAAATATCTAAGTACTATTAATCATCACATGAAACATCAAAAAGAACCTAATGTAACAGAGAAACATACAATATAACCAAGAGCTAGTCATCTATACCTGAGCTGGATTGACAAGTGGTGTTTGTGCTAGTTTGCGAGACAGGTTGAGGAGCGAGCACAGGAGCCAGACGAGAAGGCGCTGGCCCTGGCGTCCATCTGATCCAAGCACGGAGGCAAAAAAGTCCACCTAACATGGTTGCATTCTGGTTGTTTGCCCCGTAGGTCATCCCTTCGCTCGAGACCAGGTGGCCGTGTACCAGAATCACTGTTGGGAGTGTTGGACATTTAGTAAAACTGCCATTCGTGACATCAAAGTATTCATATGGTTTGATGGAAATAACTAAAAAAGAAAAGTCTTTCATTCCTAAACCTGAGACAATAAGCTATTTTTATGATGTAAAAAAGATAAACACAAGAACTGTTCTAAATACTACCATAAGATCAAGAAAAACAATTCACTGGCACCATGCCCTAACACTCACCTGTTGAACTGATTATAGTAAGAGGACATGCATTCTGTCCAAGCCATCGTAATGCATGGACAGCAGCGTGCCCAGGAGACAGCACTGGGCATCAAGGGGTCCCATGGCGAGTGAGATGGCCCCCTGAGGCTCCAAGAGTCGAGCTACAAGACTTAGCAGGGCGTGTTTCAGGGTTGTGCCAGGCCCACTGGTCACGCTGATGACGTCACATCTCACACGAAGCCGGACAAGGAGGTCTTCTAGGAGTCCCGTAACAGTGCTCCCAACCTGAAAGGAGCGAAGGCCAATGCTAATATTGTCCTTAATAATCTAAATATTTCAAATGTATACATATAAAAAAATCATGTCTTTTGGAATTTTCCTCCACAACTTCCTTCTATAAATAAAGACACATTCTACATAAAATTTGCCAATAGGAGACATTCCTTAAGATGGTTATATGACATAGACACTCAAGTCATAGTGCAAATGATTTAGTTTAGAGAAGACGTTCAATTTGCATCACTCACCACATCACTTCGCATATCAGAGCCTGTAGCACATGATCCAGTCAAAAGCTTCTGAAGTGCTGGGACAAAGTTTGTGTCTGTCACAATATTCATTGACATTCCAGTCTGAAAATAAAATAACATCAAACGTTATTGAATTTTTGTTTTTCTCACTCAAAATCAACAACTAATTATCATCAAATATAACATATATTTAACATATTCCTAACAGCATACTAAATTCCATCCCCTTTTATTCGACCAATTCAAAATTAAACTGAATGAACTCTATAGGGGTTTCTATCAAAAAAATATCTATTTTTTCAAAGCCTCCTGAATGCTTGATAAAAATAAAGTCACATTCTTACACATATTCTCAACATAATTTCCAAATTTCCCCAACTGAAACTGAATGCCCTCTAAAATCAAACCCATATCATCTTGACAAAAACCACCAAACTTCAAAGACAAACTAAATTTACTCCAAACAAATTGCTTAAAAAGAGAGCGAGAGAGAAAAAAAATTCCCCAAATGCAATACTCACCAAGTCTACATGGTCGTACTGATCAGCGCTGGTAGGGTGTGGCGCGTGGGTTCCTGTGGCGTATAGTTGCAGCAGAGTGTAAGCGTCTGCAGCACAAGACACCAACACCGCATGCTGACGCTTCCACTTCTGGATATATGCAATAATCACCTGGGTTATATAACTGTCGACTAAATGAGTAAGCACCTATACCAATATAACAAAGTAAGGAAGCTATTTTAAATAAGAACAAAACTGAATTTCTGGAGACAAGCAAATATTCCTTGTCAAACCTGTAAAATAAATAATCAAATAAATGTCTCCCATCTGAATTGTTCACCACCACACTTACCTGACAACTGCAGCCAAGAGTGCTGAGATGGCTCTTGGTGTTAGGTGCACAGTTGGGGCAACAGAGGGAGCGTACTTGCCCCCTGCAAGCTCCAAGTTGATGCTGAGCCACCCCAAGCACTGATTCTACGTGGCTGCCGTCAAACTGAAGCAGTAACAAGGAATGATGAAGTTAAACAGATAGATGGATGGATAGATATTTAGGAGTATAATGAAATATATATTTTCAAACACTTCTTTCATTTTATAATTCTCTCAGATCATTATCACTATCTGGATCAATTTTAATAACACAAATGTAATGCATAAGAACAATTCCTTTTCTAAATAGTGCAGATTGGTTCACAGTCCTCCAATGGATGTCAGAATTCATCCCAATAATTATCAAAATTTATCTAATGGCTAGTAACGCAGGCATTCACCATTAACTTCCCATCTACACCCATTCAGGATCTCAAGCACACCTCGGGGCAGCTAATCATTCATAGTTGGAGATCTTATACAAAAGTAAAAAAAAAAGATTGTTTTTGCTTTACATTAGTTACCCATATGTAGTTCTGACACCAAACAATAATACTATTACTATTGGAGGAAGAAGAACTCCCTCCAACATACTGATGATGTAAAGCAATTCATGATACAGTGCCATCTATGTTTAATGGATTAAAATATAGTATCACTAAAAATCCCTATAAGGTATCAATAGCCAATACTTATATAATTTCTACAGAAACTGATCATTTCTTGCCATGGTACTCGATGGGGATACACAGATCAACTTCCCCTCTAATCTTTTTACTTTCCTCCTATAACATTAAGAAGGAAGCAGAGGAAATTTAGAAGAATGTAAATAAAGACAAAGAAAGAAGAGAAAAAAACAGAGAGGTGGTACAAATCTGTAAACACACACGACAAGACTTCAGTACACGGACCACAGTTAACAAGAATAGCTGAGCAACACACCTGCATGGACAGATGTAGGAGAATCTTCTGGAACACATCAGTGAGGAGTTCCACGCTCCCTGTCAAGTCACCAGGGCCACAGACTTCAGTGTCGCCCCACATGCCGTTGTTCACCTGAAGTTAATCATTTTCATTCAGAGCCAAGATATAATCACATCAAAATAATTCATTCTTTACTTAAAAGGGTATTCTTAAGTTGAACTTGTGATGTGAAATATGTATGAAATATGTGCACTATAAAGAAGACAAACATCTCTCTTGTTAATCAAAATTACTGAAAATAACAGACACTATAGAAAGCAGACAACAGAAAACAAGAAAAAAGAAGAAAAAAAAATACCTTGAGTGGCGCAGTGACAGCTAGACTGAGCCTGGATGTGTGGACGGCAGCCATCATATGCAGCCTAAGCTCAGACAAGAGTGAAACTCCGGCCTCCAGCCTGGCATCGACAGCAGTGGAGTGGTCCATCCCAGGGTGAGAGCTGGCCAGGGGTCCCGCCACCAAGTCTCCGATGCGGGAGTCCTTGCCACTGCGGGATGACGATTGAGTGGGCAGTGGAGGTGGGTAGGGTGGGGGAAGACTAGGGAGAAAAGAAGATAGAAAAAAGAAAAAAGAGAAAAAAAAAAAGAAAAAAAAAAAAAATACACAATCAGAATAACATTTATTTTTTTTTACACTATACTTATCTCTTATCATGTAACTTGTAAAATGACCCACTGCCTTTACTTTAACATAATCTCAATAAACAACAAAGCACCCGCTCTGACAGCTTACTTTGACACTGCGAGTTCAAATGAGGTAATGCTGTTGTTCGAGGCCCCTCCAACAAAGGCTGGCATGTCTGCAAGGTACTCCCCAATCATGTCTTCACTCTCTGAGCTGTCTTCCAAGTCAAGGAAGGAATATTTTCCTGATGTGAGAAACATCATGGAATAATTAATACATGTATATCTTAATCTATCTGCCTGTTAACCACAATCAAAATTTGTATAACTATATCCATTTCATTTATACATCATAAATAACTAAGTAACCAATAACGACACAACCAGTCTGAACTACTCAAAATGGAGAATAAGGCCAACAAATACATCAAGAGTTTGACACCATTTCTCTTGATAACAATTCAGAAATTATCAGCCCATGCTTACCAGGTATGTCCTCTTCCTCCAGGGTAGTGTATGTGCTGTGGCCATGCCCACCACAGGGGGGCTAAGGGGCGTGGCTGACTGGTCTGCCTGGCAGTTCTGGGTGACCACGCACGCACCTCCTAATGGCGATGCACTGCTCTGGGGGGAGCCAGTGCCCCCTTCTCCAGCAGCTGACCCATTCACAGTCGGTGCCACTCCATTCCCTGTAGGCCCAGCAGGTCCTGAGGATCCCGATTGCCCAGCTGCAGCTCCTGATGGCCCTGCTACAGCAGCAGCAGCAGCTGAGGTAGTTCCTGATGTTGAAGGGATTGCTGCTGCAGCAGCTGCTGCTGCCCGTGCACCATCCATCGCGATGTCAAAGTTTTCTACTTCTTCCCTGTGTTGCTCTGTGTTCATGACTACACTGCCATATAAGCGCTCACCTGTGGGGCAACAAGCAATAATATACAAATGATATATGATTCAACCCAAGTGCTATTTAGGAACTTTCACACTTCTCTAGCCAGAGAAACAAAATGAAAACATACCTTCAAGAATATCCTGCAGAAGGCAAGTAAGTGCATGAAGGGCCCAAGGAGCTCCCCAGGTGGTGTCAAGTGTGAGGGCATGACGCAACAGAGCCCCCAGTTGAGTACGAGTCACAATTTCCGTCAAGGCTGGACTTGGCCTTGTGACACTTACAAGACCTCCAATCACCTATAAAGGTACAGTATTAATAACAAATCAATTTCTTAGAAAGGATTATGCGCTTAACCCATTCACGACAGTTTATTTTGAAGCTAAAATAAAATATTCCGGTGGCTACAAAATCGGCGTCCCCAGATTGTGTCCACCCGCTGGCCGCAGCCCGCTGCTGCGTCAGAGCACAATACAGTGCCACACTGGCTGGACACCCGGCAATGTTTATTTTTTCGGGTGTCTCGATATGGACACTCATCGTTAATGGGTTAATAATAGATAAAAAAGCTTTATCATTCCCTATATGAAGAAATAATTGTATGCAATTACATTAATGAAAAGATAAAAATAAAGCAAGCCATTAACATGTCCTCAAACTTAGTTATCTGCAAATCATAAACTTAACCCATTGGCTATTCAACAACAATGTTATTCACTGGCCCCTTAAAACTAATGCTCAGTACTTTATGTATCTTAAAAACATAATAGTCATAGTTAAAGTGATAACCATAATGTTAACAACAAAAATATTTATAACAATAATAATAATAATGATAATAGTAGTAGTAATAACAATAACAATAATAATAATATATCCTAATAATACTAACAATGACAAATAAAGTAATAAGAACATCAATGATGGTAATGATGAAGACAATAAGATTTAATAATAATATAATAATAATAATAATAAAAACAATAATAAAATAATAGCAATCATAACACAAATACTAATCATTAACATCACTATAACAAGAAAGGAAACCATTCCTTGCACCAATGCCCACCTTGCAAGTCAGGAGGAAGGAGTCCACACAGCAGGGGAGCTGGAGTTCATGAGCAACTTAATGAGTCCGTGTGCCACTGACAGGGCATTGGCTCGGTCCAAGGGCATGAAGGCATCCTGCGGTGGCCCCATCGTCCTTGCGCGCCCCTCCTCCTCCACTCGACGAGGCAGAAGTCGTGCGAGAGTATCTTCTTACAATGGATCTCCGGATAGTGTCCAGCTTCTGGTAAATTTCGCCACTTAGTCCTGCTAGAACTTGCTGCACAGTAACAATATGGAATATCATATACCATGACCAAGTTACATGACACAAAATGCTTGAGCCCTGCATACCTGAACCTAAGATACAAAGCATGGTGTGCAGGTGTGTGAAACATTTAAATTTACGGTAATGAAGAGTTCTACAAGAGGGGGTGATCAAACGCTGAGGAGGGAATGGCTCCAAAAGAACCACAGTTTCCCATGCGTATTGACTTGCCACTCATGAAAGACAAACACACACAAAAAATCATATTACTCCAACACAGTTTTGAGAACAAACACCACACAACAAACCTGTACTTACGATATGGCCATCAAATTCGTTCTCTTCTTAATTCTAGATCTATCAATCACTGCAGACTCTTGCTCTATCCTCTACCCTAACAAAATCTTCTAAAACCACATCATATTTTAACTTCCCAATCTTGAAAATAAATAATTCCAGAACTCCAGAGAAAGAATTTTTTTTTTACTTCTACTATAGTAAGTACATGCAAGAACTCAACTTCTGTAATCCATGACATATGAATGGTTCATCACTCCAAAGTTAATCCAGACTACTTCTCATATTTCTCATAAGAAAAGGAAAAGAATGCAACACACTACAAGAACAAAACAAAGAGAGAAACAAATGAAAGGCACAAAATTCACAAGCAATTACCCCAGCCGTGACTTCTCCCAGGGACTTGGTAGCTGTCTCGAGATTCACCAGCTGCTGTTTTTGGTGGTAGACAAGGCGCTTGCGAAGACGGTCACGAGAGGCTCTAGGGGCACTGCGGCTAGCCTCCGAACCTCTCCGCTGCAGGCATGTCTCTGCTGTCAGCCAGGTCCAGCGCCCACCTGCAACAAAATGAAATCCTGTAACGACAGTTTACATTAATACAGATTGTAAGTGTGTCTGAGCAAAGAATAACAAAAAACAAAACAAATGTAATGTATCAAAACCAAATTCCAATGTTTTCTCTAAGAGGAGTCAAAATAAAACTTATTGATCAATTCATTTATATTCTATCAATACTATTTTAAGTACCCGTTGATGAAGTCAATAGGTGACTTTAAAAAGAAAACAAGGAGAAAGGGGGAGAGAGAGGGAGTGGGAGAGACATAGAGAGGGAGAGAGAGAGAGAGAGAGAGAAGAGAGAGAGAGAGGAGAGAGAGAGAGAGAGAGAGAGAGAGAGAGAGGAGAGAGAGAGGAGAGAGAGAGAGAGAGAGAGGGGGGGGGGGGGGGTAGTGCATGACAAAGATCACACGAGAAAATAAGAGAGACAACACAAATGCTACTGAAAGAGAAAACAGACAATCATAAAACCACAACCCACCATTTTCTTTGCCTTTGTCACTGTCACTCTTGCGTGTGGG